GGAATATGGGGTTAGTGTAACTCTAACACTCCTACCTCCACATGCAAAAATGGATGGGTCCTTGTCTTGGTTTGAGACAATTTAAAGGAGAACACAAGTTGTCTGTCTTTACAGGTTCAACTAATCCCTTTCCAACAGTAAGGAATGAACAGGAGTAGATAGAAGTGAAAAAACAAGAATTTCCTAACAAGTGCACCAGCAACAGGAAAAAATAACAGTAAATAATAACTGCTAGATACAAAATTGCAATAACATTATGGGTCACCCCAGGACAGCCCTGCTGTCTGTACTGATAGCAGTGTAACCTACCAGCCTGCAAGTGTTTCCAGTGCTCAGCAGGAGTGCCCCAAAAAAAGCCTCAGCAGGAGTGCCCCAAACCAGACACAATTCTTGAAGAAATTTACTGGAGATCATGTAGAAGATGACAGAGTAAGGCTTGGAAAAAAATAGTGTGTTTTGTCATAATGGGCTTTTACAGGGTACTTCAGGAGAGACTTTAGGAATAGGAAAGGAATACCTGATCTGCATAACTGGAGACTTGAACTCCAGTAAGAAAAATGTGTATTTGAGAAGATGAGCAGCAGTAAGGACAAAAGGACAAGGAACCACTGGATCACATTCCAGGTGTGCCCAGCCATTTCTTTCAGGGACAGGGATGGTCCTGTGTAGTAATGATAATTGCAGTGAGGTGTTAGGTGAGGCTGAGTTCTCAGCATCCTTTCAGGCCTGTTTCCTTGTTGCAGAGATCCCCACTTTGACAGAGTCATGGCCTGCACTGGTCTTTTCATAAAGACCACTAGTGGTACTTCTGGATGTGCTTGAATGTGCCTTTAAGTGACATTCTTAACTGTTGATGTAATTTGTTAAATTGCTTCTTCTTTTCTGGAATTCAGATCAAGGATTTCCTGAGCTATATCTGTCCTGTGAACGTGTATCCCAATGTGCTGCCAGTGGGTGGGACAGAGGACAAAGTTATGGAAATGTAAGTGACAAGAGGCTGCTGGAGGGAGGGGATTGGACAATTCCCCTCCTGAATCCCAGCCTCTCAGGCTTGGTTTTACTTGTCTGATAATTCAGATTTTCTTTCTATGTTCAGTCTCACAGACTTGGGCTTTCTGAAGCATACATTTATGTTGAGCTGAGTCTCAGAGTTTGTATTCTACTTCTGTCTGTGTGTAGAGGCTTTTCTGCTGGTAAACTCTGTTTGGGAGGAAGCTGAATACAGATTCATCTCACTCTGTTCTGTGACCCATTTCTATTTGTCATTGCTACTTCTCAGAAGTTTCTTTTAATGGTGGTTTCTCTGGGGACTTGAACTCCTCCCCTGCACAGCACCAGAGGCCAGTTCTGCTGTGCTGCTGTAGATGTTGGCAGCTTAAAAAGCACCCTCAGGGAACAGGAGAGCTGTGGTGTGTCAGTCTGGACAGAACAAAGATCCCTGTTCCTTTTTCCTTTCCTCCTTAGTAAGAAAGGAGACTTCCACTGAATAATCACTGAATAAAACTGTAGTCAGATTTTGAACCCTGTCAGCTTGTCTTCTGTAAGGAAGGAACTACAGGATACTTTCCAAAAAAAGGAAACATGTTTTAAGGTAAATATTGAAAGGACAGGTTTCCACCTTTCAGCTGCTGAAGCTCACCAATGAATCAAGGACTTTGCCTTAGGTATTGCTGCCTTTGCTTTAACATTTTTGCTGCAGTGCCTATGAAAGGCATGGAGCAGTGTATTTAAAACAAGTTGAAGGATTTACTTTTGCTCCTGAAAGCATCTGCTGAGTTCTAAATATTAATTGCTTTTCTCATTCCCTTCAGATTAAAGCCATTATGCAGGTCATACAGGAGAATCATGGAACCCAGGTACAAGCCCTTAGGAACCCTGAAGAGACCCCACAAGAGAGAATTATCTGATACAGGTAAAGGTTCTGCTGCTGCTACTGCACCTTAAATGGAAGTCTGAGACCAAGCAGAGGTGCCAAAAGCTTTGGTGTTCACCACAGTCTGTGTGTTCAAAGCAACAGCTGGAAAGGAGAAATAGAAATTATGTGAACTTGGGTCTTAGGAGGATGAGAGAGCACTAACTGTGTGCAAACACACTTGTTTGCAGTCTTAAAATGTACTGCATGCTCACCAGCCCTGTAAGTTTTTGGATGGAGTTTGTTCCCTCAGTCCCAGACCAGCCCTAGGAAAGCTTGTTCTGTGTCTGTCAGGCACTGTGCTAGACAAGGCAAACACTGCCAATATCATCCTGCAAAATCTCCAGCTGGAATAAAGAATATTTTCCACAATTTATGCTAAATGAATTTTTATTAAAACTTTGCTCTCAATAAGATTTTAGCAGAGATGTGAACTTGTTTTAGTGATTTTTCTGTTTGTTTCTTGCCAGATGAAGATGATCTCTTTGATTCAGAATTAATTTCTACAAGGCCTAAGATTCCAAAAAAGCAGAGAGGAGAGAGCAGGCCCTCCAGCACAGGACAGGCTGAAAACTCTGAAGGAAACATTAATGAGAGCACAGAAAGTTACAGAGGGACCACAACTTACACCTCCCTCAAGGTAGACTTTGTGGACTGTGAAGAATCAAATGATGATGATAATGATGATGATGATGATGAAGAACCTGAAAAAAATACAGTTCCATTTCTTTCCCATGAGCCAGATGCCACTTCCACAGCCAATTTCAATGGAGTAACTAGTGACCAGCAGGACTCTAATGCCAGTGTCCCTTGCTGGGATGAATTTTTTACAGGTAATAAACTAGAGGAGAGCTCTGAAAATGAGGACAACCTCCCATCTTCAGCAGATGCTGGTGGGTCCCAGTCACTCTTCAGTGATTCAGATGGAGTAAGTGACTCAACACACATCTCCTCCCAAAATTCTTCTCAGTCAACACACATCTCAGAGCAGGGGAGCCAGGGCTGGGACAGCCAGATGGACACAGTGCTCATCAGCTCCCAGGAGAGAAGTGCCCTGGAGCTGAGCACAGGTGGGAGCAGAGCAGTGGTGCCTGTGCTGCAGGAGAGTCCCAGGGACACTCAGCTGGACAGCAGCAGGGGGCAGCCACCAGGTCAGGACAGACCTTGTGCTCACGATGGTGCCTGTGGCTGGAGGAGCAAAGGCTGTGAGAAAGCTGCAGAAGATGGCACTGCCCACGTTCAGGATGTGCTGGCAGAAATAAGTGACAGCTCCAGGACTCCTGACCTGGAGCTGAGGAGGGACTCCCAGAGCTCCTCTGACTTTGAAATTCCCTTGACTCCTGGTGCTGAAGCACCTCAGCCAGATAAACTGCACCATTTATACAGGAAGCTTGCAGCAGGTGAAAACATAATCAGTGAGAAAAAAGTCTCCTGAGAGCAGGTATAACTGATTACCTTGTGGTAATACCCAGCATGTCTATTAATACCTGAATTATTTTTCTATTTCCTGCTGGTTACTGTCTGCAGCTATGCTGAGTCATGCTTAATTCAGAAGTATCTTACTATCAGAACCAGGAATTTGCAGCCTTTGTACCTTTACTGTTCCTTCTATGAAATACTGAAAAGGAAATATTCCCAGGAGGGACAGTAAAAGCCTTCTACCTCCCAAGGTTCAATTCTCCAGGACTGTAAGTAGATAAAAAATGGACCAGACAAAACTAAAGGTAAGACACTAAATGAAATTTAGTGTTTATTATGAGCTCTAAGAGTTTGCCTTTGTTATGTGATCTCAGGTTTTAATAAAATATTGACTGTGGGGAGGAAGACCTAAGAATGACCATGCAAACAAGGCAGTTGTAATTTGGCTTTAATCCCTATTACCATTGTTTATCATTATTATAACAATTTAATCAGTACGCACTGCAGTTATTTTTAAAAACAACTGCAGAACAGATTAGAGAATTACTGAGGTTGTGAGGGGGTTTTAATTTGTTTTAAACCAAATTGTTAATTTCAAAAAGTCTCTTGACACTGAGCTTTAACTCCTGAGTTAGGTACTGCAGAGTGCTGTCTATGCTTCACCTCCAACTGCAAACAACTTGTCATCACTTCCTCTGTGTTCTGGTTTGTTCTGAATTTCTTCAGAAGAATTTAAAATCCTGTGGTTTCAAGTTACCAGCCCTGTCCTGCTCTGGCAGGTAACTCAGCCACAGAAGGTGACCTGGTGTCCCACACAGGCTCTTGTACTACAAAACTTCACCTCCTCTGCAACACTCTGTAGACTTCACTGTTTTAAATCAAGACAATACATTTTCCATGCCCATGTGCCATCATAACTGCCAAAATTCTTAGCTTCTAACATAAAAATGTAATTCAGGTTTTTCATAGAGTGCCTACAAAATATCTAAACCACAGAGATCATTTAAAAATCCCTGAGGTTTTCCATCAATGTTCTTAAGTCCCAAAGAATTAAACATAATTTAGCACAACACCCCTCCCCTCTGAGTGTGCCTTCAGTTGTTGTGCCATGTTTAGTGACATGTGAATGTTAAACCAACCAGCATTCTGCCACAGGGACCAGAGGCAGGAGGGACAAAGCACTGCCATAATCTGTGTATGATTCTAAGGATATTAAAGAGCCAGTATTTCTCCACTGTTACTTTCCTGCTATTTGTGGGATTTGTTAACCTAAATTCCAAATGTGATCTACCAACTTTGGGGGTTTTTTAGCAAGCCTTAGTGAGTGGAACTGCTGTTGGAACTACCTCTGTGAATAAAGTCAGACAAAACAGAACCTCTGGTGTTGGTTCATTTAATATTTGGAAACTGTGCATGTAAGTTCAAGGCTGCCTTTAACAGAATGCTCAAATATAGAGGAATCCAGTCTGTTCAGGCAAGTGTTAATTTATAGCAGTTCTCACCAGCCCTAAACTGAAAACACATCCCTTCCTCCTGGTCCCTCTGCTGGAATCCTTACACTCCTAGAAAATTTGGGTACAAGCCAGGAATTAAGAGGTTGCAATCTTAAAACAAATGCTACAACTAATTTTCACAGGCTAATTTTTTTAAAAATGACAACAACAAGAGAAAAACTAAATTTAATTTATTTTATCAAAAACTATAGGAAGACAGCAATACTAGAGACGACACAGTATGAAAAGAAAATGTTCCTGAGCTTACAAACTGCATATTCTAATACAGTTCCTAAAACATACATTAAAAAATAATCAAAAGATTGACTTAACTTGGAGATTAAATAAATAGACAATAGCTTTTCTTACAGGTGATCTTGCAGCTTTAGTTTTGCTACAAAAAATAGAACCAACAAAAAAAGAACAGCTGGAGAGCAGGGCAGAGGTTACCAGCCCCCAAGAAGTGCACACACACGACTGAATTGGTGACCATGACGATGCCAAAGGACCACAAAGCAAAACAAAGGCAGAAGCTGGGCTGGTTTAGCTTCCCTATGAAATTGAAAACAGCTATTTCTCCATTTCCAATTTGGCAATTTTCTGCCAAACTCATAAAAACAGTAAAAGGAGTTTTAAAAGTGACACAATGTCCCATTAAGGTAATTCATTGACTGCAATCCAAATACACTGTGAATACATCAATATAAAATACTGTTCAAGGCTCTTCTGTTGGAAACTGGATCCATGGGTTTCCTTCAAATAAATACAAAATACTGCTACCTCCCAGAACACAAATGAACAGTTCTTTATTTATGGCAGAAGATAACACACGAATCCTTGACAAACAGCAGCGTTATTCCAGTGCTGGTGATAACATTCTGTGCCTCTGGAAAAGGCAGTACCGCACTCCAGTACAACTGCCACAGCTGTTACCTTCTAAAATGCATCTCTTTGCGATATTTAAATCAGACTGGGCATGGGGGAAACAGAGCCTGGGCCTGCCCCGTGCCCGCGGCACAGGCGGGGCTGGAGGAGGGAATGCACGCCCAGCGCAGCCTCCACCCTGCAGGGACAGCGCGGGTTAAGGGCTGGAGTCTGCACATTCCATCCCATGGAACGCACTGCTCATCTGAGCGACATGCAAGGGAAAGCGCTAACGACTCCAAACGATGCAAGATCATCTGCAGTTTGCTGACGTTAAAGCTCCACATTCCACTTAAAACTTTAAATTTAAAATAAAAATTCACTAGAGATATGGCATGATAAAAACTGACGAGATTCAGCATTTATCATCTGGATACAGGTCAGCCTGATCACATCAAATACTTTTAAATCTAAGCAAACTTCCTCCTATTCATTAAGCAATATAAAGTCTCTATTTCAACGTGTATCTCTGTATTGTAGATTAAACTCACACAGCATTTCCAGCAGCCCATGCTCTTCACCAAAAGTGTAAAACTGATTTTGGCTAGTAGCATATAAAATATCATTTGCTACCAAAGAGCCAGATCTTCAGTACAAATGCAACTGTGCTTCTTAAGAAACAACCTTGAAATGTTCCTTTTGAAGTGCTGACAATTAACATGAAATTTAAGGCATTTTCTAACAAATTAAGTAAACAGTTACATGCTCGGTACTTGACTTCATTCACCTGAGCCACCAGCTGTGCACCTTATAAAGGTAACTAGCTGACCTATGATACATCCAGCTATGGAGCATCCACTTATGGAGCAACATTATTCTGCCTGACCCTGTCAACATTTACATGACTGGCAAGCAATATGCAAGTTTTACAAGCTCTGAATCCATGAGAAAAAAGTGTGTGGATCATTCCTAGAGCATGGACCTTGGCTGTAACTCCACTCATCACCCACCTCAACTGCTCTTCAGTGGTTCTGAAGCCAAGCAAAACTTAGCATATGTTATGAATAGATTGAGACAACTTTAAGATGATCAGGAAAACAAAAGATGACTCGAGCAGCTGAAGAACAGCACATTTCTCAGCCTTTACATTCAAGAACATCTTACAAATGTCTACAGCAAATGGGTATACTCACCCCTAGTCTAACTTCACTGAAGTTAGCATTTTTGCAACCAGAAAATACAAGCCTACTATCTTAGAAGTCTGTCACTAGGTAAAAAAGACACAGTATGTAAAAGTTTAACCAAAACCAATTGTGAATATACATCAATCCCAGGGGTCTTTTGCACCTAACAGATAACAGACCATATCTCCACACTGCACTGGCTTTGTTAGACAATGGGCTGCTCTCCTTAACCTTCTGCTATTTCCAAACTGTAGCCAGCAACTTATTTCAGCCATGACTGCCAAATTTCTGTAATGAAAACAAACAGCAAATGTTACTTCTGACAATTCCATATTTACAAATGCTCTGTGGAACTGCAGTCCTCCTATAGAATCCTAACTAAAAATCAGAGCATAACTGAGAACATTCTACATAACATCAGCTAAGAAGTTCAAGTTTTACACTTGGGATCTGTTAATACCAATTACAGAATCACAGAATCAGGCTGGAAAAGGCTTTTGAGATCATCAAGTCCAACCTATAACCAAACACCATCTTGTCAACCAGACCATGGCACTGAGTGCCACATCCACCCTTTTTTAAAACACCTTCAGGATACTGCTCTCTGAGCAGCCCATTCCAGTGTCCTATCACCCCTTCTGTGAAGAAATCTTTCCTAATTTCCAACCTAACCACCCCCCAGCACACCTGGAGACTGTGTCTCCTTGTCCTATTGCTGGGTCCCTGGGAGACTGACCCTCACCTGGCTACAGCCTCCTGTCAGGGAGTTGTGGAGAGAGATGAGGTCAGCCCTGAGCCTCCTTTTCTCCAGGAACATGATGGAGTGGCTTGGTGAGCTCATCTGCAGCTCCCTTATCACCCAAGGATGGATCCATGGAGTTATGAGCATCTAAGTGACTCAGCAAGCCTCTGACTGCCTCCTCCTGGATTACAGGGGGAATATTCTACTCCAGCTCAGGAGACCAGTTGTCCTGAGCACAGAACAACTGTCCTAATGCTGAAAACTGAGGCAAAGAAGGTGTAAGTTAAGTACCTCAGCTTTGTCCTCATCTTTGGTAGCCATATTCCCTCACTGTGTCCAACAAAGAATGGAGGTTTTCCTTGCCCCTCCTTTTGCTATTCATGTATTTATAAAAACATTTTTACTATCCTTTAAAGAAGTGGCCAGGTTAAGTTTTAATGAAGCTTTGGCCTCTTTAATTTTCTTTCTGCAATTACTTCCTTTGCATGGAATTCCATGGACATTTTACAATTTGCACTCCTGTGAACCTTTATTTACACATTGGCTCTCCTTAATCCCTCACCCTCGTGCCATAAATGTTATTGCTAAGATCTTCAAGCTTTTCTTTATATAACAAAAAAGCAAAAGAATTGTCAACTAGGATTTGGAATTCAAATCAAATGCCTCCTGACTTCTCAAGGTATAAAAAACACGTAGCTTGAAGCTGAGTCACAGGAGGTTTAGATTGGATATTAGGAAAAGGTTTTTCACCCAGAGGGTGGTCGGGCACTGGAAGAGGCTCCCCAGGGCAGTGGTCACAGCACTGAGCCTGGCAGAGTTCAAGAAGTGTTTGGACAATGCTCTCAGGCACAGGGGGTGACTCCTGGGGATGTCCTGTGCAGGGTTAAGAGTTGGACATGATGACCCTTGAGGGTCCTTTCCAATCCAGATCATTCTATGATTCTAGGAATATTCAAATCAAGGTACATTTTAGTTTTCTTTGCATCCATTTTACGGCTTCCTAAACAACTGCTCTAGAATTTTAATCCCCTTTAGCAGTTCTGTATTGGCTTGAAACACTGCAATCTCTTTGGCCAATGCCATTTCAATCACAAACAATACCTTGTTTTCATCATCCTTATTTAGATTAGATGTAAGAATACTTGAATATATGTGTGAAAGAAGAGTCTTCTTAAAACACATTAAAAAAAACCCCAAAATATTAGTGACTTTGGATACCCGAACTCAGTTGAGATAACCTCTGCAACACATGGCTCCACATTTACAGACAGTTCTGATGCTCTTTTTGGATGGGCTAAGACCTTCAGCAGAGTCTGAAGTCAGATCTATTGAACCTGCAACACAGATGAACACAAGTAAGAAAGTTCTAAAGGACAGACCAAGATCATGCCCAGTATTCAATCAGCTTCTAAAGGCTTTCTAACAGCCCAGTTCAAAGAGCTGTGTGTGATGCTCACTAAGATTCCACTGACACCCTTGTTACAGCTGCTTGTACAACACCTGGCACACACATCAGAATCCAAAACTCAGACTTGATCTTTGTACCCCCCAGGTATCCACGTGGATCAGCTGAGAGTGCAGCTGGCCTTCAATGTCAGTGTCACAGAGAGAAGGAGGAGTTTTAAGATTCAAGATCAATTTGGCAGTGTGGTGTTTTAAGCCCAGACAGCAATGAAACACCATGCAGACACTTGCTCACTGCCACCCCAGCAGAGCAGGGAGGAAAACCAAAAGTAAAACTTGTAGGTTGAGATAAGAACAGTTTAACAATTGAAAGAGTAAAATATTGTAATAATTATTATATTCTGATCATGCTGATATTGATTATTATTAGTAGTAGTAGCAGTAATTGTAAAAGAAAAAACCAAACATGAGTGATGCACACGCAATTGCTGACCTTTGGCTCATTGATGCCCAGAGGCCATCCCTGAACTCTGATCAGCCCCTTCTGGATATCTCCCCAGTTTCTACACTGGGCATGACATTCTCTGGCATGGAATATCTCTTTGACCAGTTCATCTGTCTATGCTTCCTACCAGATTTTATGGTTTTTTACATTTTTTTGAGTACCTCCTCACTGGTAAAGCCCGAAACACAAAAAAGTTCTTGATTTAAGAAAACATCAGTGAATTATCAACACTATTCTCATACTGAGTCTAAACCACAGCACTGTACCAGCTACTGAGAAGAAATTAACTCTATCCCATCTGAAACAGCTGTTCTACAGGACCTACATCCACAGCTGAGGCTTCCAGGGCACAAGAATTCAAAGACAAACCTATAGTGCCTCATGGTGCTGAGCTGTAACAACTACCTCAGTAACTACCTAGAAAGTAGTTTATCTGAAATGCTGATTTGAATAAAGGAAAGCTTTATTTAAGAGCAGCCTGACCATTCCTTTGAGCATACCTGGGACAAAGCTTCAAAATAATTTTCTTCACCAGACACAATCCCTGATGTGCTTAGCACTGAGGGAGGCAGTGCACTAAGATGCAGGCAAAAGCTTCTGGGTGTGCTCCTCTCTGCACTACAGGTCATGAGCAACAACTGTTCTGAAAGCCAGAGCCATGTTATCAAAAGCTGTGCCTGAGCTAAATGCTACCATCATCCAGGCTGCAGTAAAACCCACCAGCACCCCAAAACTTCCAGAAGAACCATGTTAAAATGTGCAGACCTTTCATCTGATAGTCAAAGGTCAGCTCTTCTCCAGCCTTGATGGTCCGGGTGGAGAACAGCGCTATTCGGGGAAGACGCAAGTCGAGGTTATCAATGAACACATTGAAGACTTGAAGATTTGGATCACACTGTAAGCAAAAATTAATGCAATTTCTGTTTAGAAAAACCAACACTTAATATCACTGAAGTGTTTAAATAAACCAAGGTCACAGCAAAGAAAGAAAGAGTGAAGTCTGCAATTGTCTTCTGAAATCAACAAATTGAAATAATGAAATAATAATTCGTAGCTCAGATTTAAGTCCTTCCAGGAAGGCAACCTTTGCACAATGTGCAGACTACGCTGATATGCAACAACCTATAAAAAGTGACACCTTCAAAGGTGACAACAAAAATGGTGACAAAATAATTAGAGCCTACTCTAGGCCAATGCAGGCCAACATCCAGAACTAGTATGTACCAACAAAACCCATAAAAAGAATTAAAGTTGAAAGAAAACTAAAAACAACTGAGTGTTTCAAGCCCCACAAGCTCACTGCTCTGTAGTGATGCTTAAGCACTGCTTCCAGGCCAGAGATAACATCTCCATTCTATGCAGGAATTTCTACTGTAAACTGCAAACCTGCTTGGCTTCTGAATTCCCTGCCATGGTCTGGGTGCAAGGAGGAGGGTGAAGGTCACTAAGCTGGAACTGGAAACCATTTCCTCATTTTGTCTGGATTAAGTGTCAAAAATCAGCAGTACCTGAGACTGTTAAATTCTGAATGCTTTTTTGTTCTTTAACAGTGAAATATGTTACACGTGAAAGAATCAGAAGTGAAGTTACAGACACCGAAATTTACGCTGAAGACTGAGAATACTTCACTCCCATTTGCGAAAGAGCAACTGTCTGTACCTAAAACTCTCCTTCATCCTTCTCCCTGGCAAGCCTGCATGAAATACAAATACCATCATGTCACAGACATGAAGACATGGTCTTCAGGAATCCTTACAAATGCAACTCAGCTTTCTTGCTTTAGATACTTCAGTTGAACTTCAACAAAACACTACAAAAACTGCTTGTTAAAATTTGCTTTTGAGTTCTCTGCAAATTTACATTAGGAGGAAAAATTGTATTTCTCTTCTGTAGATACCTAGGAAAGCACAGGAATTTTCTCTTTTTTCCTCTACCAAGTTTGCAGGATGAAATTCAGAGTAACATTCCATCCTGCCCAGCTACAAAATAATGCATCAATTCCTGTCATCTCTGACTCCTGGCTAATTTCATTAAGGAACTGTCACGTGTTAAGTATTTCAGGTACTCAGAAAAAACACACCCAAACCAACCCTATTTTGGTTGTCTAGAATGAGCTGATTCAGTGAAAACTCCAGTCCTATAGGATGTCCACTTCAGGCATTATCTCTGCCCCAGATTTTTGTAGGCAGTGTCAATCCAAGTAAGGCCCAATATTCTGTTCTATTTATTACATCATCTGATTAACTGGACTGTGCTGGCATGAAGCAAACTACTCCAGAAAAACTGTGAATACAGTAAGGAAATGTTTACATTAGAAGACATTTCTAGCACAATTGGAATAATTCTCCAAATTCTTAATATACGAAACAAAGTCTTACACTGTGGTTCACAAAGTGGGACACATTTCCATATCGAGCTGCATCTACTGTAAATTCATCTGAGTCATAGTCCAAATCAAACAAGTATGTATTTCCCTGGTTGTCATAGAACTGGCCTCGCCTCTCTGCTTCCTCACTTGTAATCACCTGAAAAAAAAAAAAAGGAATAAAGAAACCTGCATCATGTTATTAATTATTACCAAATCAAAACAAAAATCACAATCAAGTTAGAAAAAAAAAAAACACAGTAAGTTTATGATGTTGAAATAGCATTTCTTCTTATGAATGAAGAATACATAAGAGTACATACAGCTGAACTAATTATTTTTGATTGAGGCTTCTCTGGGTGCAATTTGTCTACAGCTGATGCACAGCACTACCTTGTCTCTGAAAAAAAAAACCATATCAGCACCCTCTACTAATAATTTTGATGATGACAATACAATCAGCTGTTTTTACTGAAGCTTCTATATACACACTTTTTCCATTAGATCCAGAAAGCCTCGTTTACTTCACACAAAACCAAGATTCAACATGTTCCCTTTGCAAAGATGATCCACAGGTATCAGTCTTTAAAACCCAGCCACATTTACAGCCTGATATTCACTTCCTCTCTTTCCAGAAGCATCTCTTCCTGCTATTTTTGACTGCAATGAAAGATCCTATTCACTGCAGCTCAGACACATCACAAAGCTCAATCTATTCAATTAGATGAGTGTGTCACTGTTGACAGATGAAACAGCTTCAACAACTTCATCTGTAGCCTGTCACATTAAACACATTCTGCTGTATAGATTCAGCAAAGAAATCTAATTTTGCAGCAAGAGATACAAAATGTGATGGAATTGGACAATAAATCCCTCTAAAATCTGACAGATGAGATTTGAGAAGTAAGCAGTAGATATTAAGTAGATTCAGGTGAAACAGTAAATACGCACTCTTTTCTTTAAGCAACAAAATCACAGAATCACCTTTCAGTGAATGGAGTGTATGACCTTTTGTATATTTAAAGGAAATGGATGAACATGAGAAGAAGCTTTGGGGCAGGAAGCATGGGGGAAATCTACTAAATACCATAAACATTGTACAAAGGGAAAGAAGGAAATACTTTGAGTCAACATAGCAGCAAGGCAGATTTGTGGTAGAAGCGAAACACAGTGCAACAGAGAGGCTGCCAGGAACTGCGGGTGTGAAGAGCTCTGGAACAGAGCAGAGGCTGAAACACACAAACACAAGGCAATCCAAAACCTCAAGAGTAACTCAAGGTCTGTATTTTATAACATAAAAGTTCTCTTTGAAATAGTATGAGATTGAATAAGCAGATAATGTCCGTACTATGAAAGTTACTCTTGCTGTTAATCAAAAGCAATAAATATGCTTGGAAATACTACCTTAGAAGGGCAGGCAAAACAAAAGGGACTGAAAGTCTGTGCAGGGAGTTTCAAAACAACTGTGCTTTGGGAATGGCAAAAAACTACAGAAAAGATGATCAGGGAAGAATGAAGAATATGATTGCCATGAAAGAAATTAAGGACTTACCTTTAGAAATACTATTAGGGCATGTATCTAAAATAATTCTTTAGTGCCATATCAGATAAATATTCTCTTTACTTTTGACTTCTTACAACTGCTCTGGAATGAAGGAATGTTCTAGACAACATAATTTTGCTGTCAACTAGAATGTCCCTTTCTCTTTCTACTCAAAAGCAGACTGACCTATTATACAGTAGAATCACAGAGTATCCTGAGTTGGAAGAGTCCCACCAGGATCACCAAGTCCTGGCCCTGCCCAGGACATCCCCAGGAATCACACCATGTGCCTCATTGTCCAAACACTCCATGAACCCTGCCAAGCTTGTTGCCACGATCACCTCCCTGCAGAGCCTGTTCCAGTGTCTGACCACCCTCTGGGTGAAGAAGTCACAAAGTGTGAAAACTGAGAGAAAGCTCATGAAGATTTTAACTAACATTTCCTTGACTGTATGTAATTCACCTCTACAAGATAAATACATACCTACCTCTCCAACATACTCCATCACAAAACTGTTGGTTTTAATTTTCTGGAGGGTTTTTACTCCCCAGCCACGGCCATTGTTGGTTCTGAAGATGCAGAGGGAATATGGGGTCCCTTTCTGCACAATCCTATTGGGGCAGTCAGGCCCACACCTACAATATGAATTGCACTCATAGATGGGCAAGCCAGGCTGGATTTTCAATTTCTTACGTTTATTGTAAGCCAAAATAAAGCCAGCCTCCTTTGGACAGCACTTCTCAGCAGGGCAGTCAGCACATTCACAGCCAGTTGTTATTCCATTGAGCACATTTATTCCTGGAGCAGGTTTATACTCATTGATGTAATAGAAGTCTAAAGGAGGCCCTTCAAGATCCACGGTGTTTTCTACCAGAATCATTGCTTTGTGATTCTTTTTCCTGTTGAGTTCTTCCGTCCACCTCTGCAGAGCTATTCTTTGTTTAGCCTTCTTTACAACATAATCTGCAATTGCAGGTTTCAGAGTTTTAACGTGGTTTCTCAGTTTCATTGCTTTGCCTCCTCTCCCCCGAGACAAGTACTCATTCTTGTCTCTAAGAAAGTTCTGAATAAGCAGAGGGCAGTTCAGATGCTTCCGAGGTTCCCAAGTATTTGAAGATTCTGGCCATCCTTTCCATTTCACAAGATAGTATGCTTTGCCCTTGAAATACAGAAACAGATACAGATTCAGCCAGAGCTCATGTTGCTGAAATCCACCATGACAGAACAACACAAACACAAGAGCTCTGGACTTAAGGATCAGCACACAGGGCAGAAGGCCTTGATGTCCCCATAAAAATTACAATTGGGGAGAAAGAGAAAAATCAGTTTGTCTGCAAATTAACGTATAGCACAACTTAGCATACTTTACAAATTGTCTCTAGGGGCAAAGAAATCAAAAGCTGGGATGAACTCTGACTGCTAACAGCATACCTGGAGGAGGAGGCCAGTTTGTCAAGGCAGGGGTAAGTTATGCTAACTCACTGTATGACTCTTATGCACAAGCAGAATGCAGTCGTATCACATACAGAACAAAAAAAAAAGCAAAATGTAGCAAAAAAAAGTCTAAAATCCACTATTGGTCATATCAACCATCCTCCCAGAACACTATTTAATTTGATAAGTGTTAGATTTTATTTACAATGAAGCAACATTCATTTTGTACTTATTTAAAAAGGACAAATAACTGTAACAAGGGCAAATCCTGAGACTGAATTTCACAGGAATCCATTTGCAGCACATGGCCCTAATTCTTCATCGAACAGACTAAAAGAATCAAGAGAGAAATACACATGGTTGTCTGCAAATAAAGGAGAGGCATCATAATTCATACTCAGCTACCACCCTAAAGCATCAGCATCAGATACACAAAGGTGAACATTTCATATTCTAAATGTCTGTAATTTCAAAAAAAAGCTCTTCCTTGCACATACTGAGAGTAGCAGTTTACACCACTTTCTGTTTGCAGTTTAAAGTTCAAAATATATTTAATTTGATGCCAGCAAAAGCTTTGTCCTCACTGTCTGATTCTTTATATTATGACCAAAACTACCTTTTGCTTGCTTCCAAATTTTAGCTGAAAGAGTGATCAAATTGGTCTGTGTTTCTCTTACCTCTTCTACCTTGTAGTCACACAAATATTCCACCTCATAACTCTTTAGACTCCTGTTGGTGATTCCAATGGATTTACATGTGAGATTTTCCTTCCTACATAATTCTTGGAGGGTCTCATGTGAAGCTAGACATGGCACATACCAGGCTACAATAAGAAAATTGGTAAAGAATCCTATTTAATGTCTCAGCTAAATTGAAATCATTATGCCTCATCCCAGAGTCCCCACATTACCATTTGTGACAGCAGTCCACGAGTCTCCTGTACAAATGCAGCGTCTCCAACTCAACCCTTCTCTACCGGGTCAAGGGAAACACGTTCATGATTCCCTCCCTGCACCTTTATTCTGTACAGTACGTACGCATCCAAAGAAAAACAAACATTTTGGAGGGCAGAGACTTCCACAGGTGAAAGATACACTAAGCACCAGCAATTTTTCTACAATTACCGCATCGCACAACTGAATTCCGGCAAGCAGGAAACCTCCATTCTTTAACAAGACCGACAAATTTCTGTAGCCAGGCGCAGCTGAGTACTTGCGATGCAACCATGGCGACCGGACGAGGAGATAGAGACCCACAGCCCTTATCTGGCAGGATCGCGAGTGCCCGGTCAGCCAGGCGGATTTAGAGGGACGAGACATTCCCGCAGGGCGCCAGCGCCCGGGAAAACCCGGGATCGGGGCGCGGGATTGAGTCCAGAGCGGGAGCCGCCGGTGCAGGGCCGCGCCCGCCTCCCCCCGGGGCTCCGCGGGGCTCTCCCGCCCCAACCCAGGCGCAGCTCACGGGGCTCGGGAGGGAGCGGCGGTGCCTTTCCCGCGGCTGCACCGGGATCCAGCGCCTTTCCCCGCGTTCCACCCCCGCTTCCAGGGTTACCCCAGGCACCTCCCGCCCTCCTCCCACAGCTCCACCGGGGCAGCGGGCAGGATCCTCAGGGCAGCGGGCAGGACACCCAGTTCTTCCCTCCCCGCCCGCCGGGGCTCTGTGGGCAGCGGCGGTGGGAACGGTCCTGACACAGCCGGGCGAACGGGAACCGCTAGCGGCTCCCACGGCCGAAAGCGAGCAGCAGCTTCCCCACCCGTCCTTCCCCCGGTCCGTCCCGGTCCCCCAGCGCCCGGGCGGCCGCAGAGCCCCGGGCGGCCGCGTCCCCAGCCCGCTCCCCCCTCACCTCCTCGCCAGCCCTCCATGTTGGGGGGTGCGGGGGGCCCGCGCCGGCTCCGCCCCCCGCCGGAAGGGAGCGGGGCGCAGAGGGCGGCCCGGGCGCGCGCGCGGCTCCGCCCGCCCTCCCCTTTCCCGCCTCTGCCGTGAGGGGCCCCCGCAGGGACGGGGCTGGAGAGCGGCTGAAAGGGAGCGGGACAGAGTTAAAGCCATTTTGCTTTTGTTCTTACAGAGCTCTGCAGTGCCTGGGACAGGCGGGGAAGCGCGAGGCAGCTTCTTTCCCGCGCCCCTCAGCTGCAGAGCTGAAAAGAACTTCGGAGAAGTGGTCCCGGCCTTACCCTCACTCCTCAGACGCGGTGTTAACTATTAATGTAGCTTCGGCAGAATCACAGAATCGATAAGTTTACAAAAGGCCTCTGAGATCATCAAGCCCAACCTATGACCAAACACCACCGTGGCAACCAGACCATGGCACTGAGTGCCACGTCCAGGCCTTCCTTAAACGCCTCAGGGTGTTAATTAAACACTCACTACCTCCTTCGGGCAGCCCATTCCAATGTCTAATCACCTTTAATGGGAAGAAATTCCTCCCATTGTCCCACCCAAACCTCCCCTGCCACAGCTGAGTTAGTAACCTCTTATCCTGGGGCTCTTTTTCCTAGGGAACCACTGAAGGTTCCTAGCAGGCACGTAATGGAATACAACCCTCTGCAAACCCAGACTGGTATCCCTTGCTGTGTTCTCTAATTTTTGAGGCTCCTCTGTGACACTTTCAGTGTTTTACAAGGTAACACACTGTTGTAAGCACTGAATTGTTGTCCCTTAACTGCACTTTAGGCTGAGACCCTCATATTCCATAACCACACTTGCCTGCTCCATCTCGTCATTGAAAAAACCTGCCAGCTTATACCCACACAAATGTATGACAATACAGATTTAAAACCACACACTATGGAGATTGTCAGGATCTGCATAAAAAATGTATTTTTTAAAATAACATATAAATAAGCACACTTAAGTCTTACATTTCTCAGGTAATATGACAAAACCATTTTACAGAAAAAAAGTTTTGAAAAAAAAAAAATTCATCTGCTCAAGAGGCCAGCACAAATGGGCTCCACCTTCATGGTTTTGGGCAATATCAAGACCACACAGGATTCTGGTATAAAATTGAGTGGATTTTCACCAGTCTCCTTCTCAGGTTCAAAGCTGAACTACCGAAGCCACAGATGCACTGGCTGAATGGGTACAAGACCTGATTAGTCAAGAAAAATCTTCAAACTATGTAATATGGTTGTTACTGAACCACAGGCATTTGTGATTTGCATTTTGTAAACCAAGTGCTGATCATTCAACAATCTGTCGTTTTGCACCACACTCTAAACAGACTTGGTCGCAAAATAACTTGGTGGCATTTTAGTTTATTACAGTCCTCTAAGAATCATGAGAGACATCACAGAGAGTCACTGCTTTGGCAGAAAAGCCAGTAAGAGACAAAAATCAAGTTAGAAAAACGTTGCCTTCCAAAGTGGCCTATGATGCCACTTCAACAGTAATGATTTCACACTTTCCAGTATCTTGATCTGTGCAGGTGACGTGCAAGGACCCATCCCTAGATAAAAGAGAGTTATGTTTAGGATTATCTCAACACAACACTTACTATGTTACTGCATGTGCCAGAGAGGATAAACAAGTCTTCACACTGAGGGAAGGATGACAGATCAGCATCAAAATATCCAGGCACAAACATGCTTCAACACAGATGAAATTGGTTTATTAAATTAAGTTTAATTTAGTCATTGTTTTTATATCCACTTCTTGCCCTTAAAGCATCTATCTTCTCTACATATTTTGAAATTAATCAAAGAACACATTTAAATACTGCAATTTAATTTACAGGTTTCTAAATAGAATATGTGGTAATATTATTCAAAATATTCCTTGTGAGAGCTGACTAAGAGCAGTAGATTGACAAACATGGTTTGTCATGGCACAAGAACTTGACTTTTGAAGTGTAAATAGTCTTTAAACTCAAAGGATCTCCTTCAACAAGGAAAAGCTTAATTGTCAAAACCCAAGACTTTAGAAACAATATTTGTACCCAAATTTAGATTTTAGAAACAATATTTGTACCTAAATTTATTTTGTGTGACTGTATGCCTTACTTCAGCTAGGCATACAGTCACATAAAATAAATTTAGGTACAAATAGATGTTTTCTACTAAACTTCTTTTCCCTTTTATCCCTAAATATTCCTTAAACCTCCTTCCAAAATATGATGATTTTCTGCATGACAGAGTTTCATCTATAATCCCCAAAATGTTCTCCTTATCAGTGCTCAGTATAAATCTCTGTATGACAAACCAGGCATTTTGGGTGAGGTCTTAACACGCATTAATACACCTGATAGCTAACATAAGAAAATGAAGTATTTTGAAACTTAAATAGCAAGCAGAAGGCCCTGTTTCTCTGTATAACAACCCTGCTTCTGAAAGGACAGGGACACTGCAAATTCTACAATCCTTCATAACTAAAAAAGACAAAACCCCCTTCAGTTTTTCCCAAGAGTGTGGGCATTCAGCAAAGCTCCCCAACCCACTTCCAGAGCAAGTCTGAGATCCTGACTGCTCTCATGCATGGTCAAACTGATCAACGGTTCAGAAGTTGCTAAAAATAATCTACACAATTGTATTAAGCTTTGTTTCTTTAAGAATCAAACAATGACAGCACCAAAGGTACTGCAGAAAACCCACATTTCTACAGAATTTACCCCTGCTAGGACTGTACAGTCCTGTAACCAAAGAAATGCTGAAATTTCTCAAAAAAATAAATTAAATACTCTGTAACAGAAGCAAAGACTGTTTGTCAGAAGTGACATAGAAGGGTAAACAGCAGAACAAGTGTTTTGTGTACCTTTTCATTGTGAGAACTGTTAGTATATCATGTAGGCCATCCTCCTTTTTATCTAAATCCTGGAGTACAATCTAGTAAAAAAAAGAAAGTTTGATTATAGTCAGTTCTTCATGTTCTTGTTCAGCACTTCAAGGGAAGGGACACAACAGCTAAGATGTGAAAATTCATGCATTTTAGCTATTTGCACTATTGTTTCTGTGTTTTGGTTCAGGATGTATCCCTGAGATAGCTGAAGTACCTATCACTCCCACAGCATCCTTTAGAATCAGTACTGTAATTATTAGGTAACATCCCTTCCCTATCCCCTTTAAAGATATTTGGGCAGAATTAAGGTGGAATAACAATCTTCTTAAATATTCCATCAATCTCAGACACATCTGCCCCTTTCCTGATGCTTTCCAAGGAAAGCACATAATAACTGTTTCAAAAAGCTGTGTTCTCTCTGTAGGCTGATTCCTAAACAACAACTTTAAACCCTCACTTGATAAAAACATTTCATCTTACCACTATGATAAACCAAATTCAATATTTAATAACAATGTCCAATCTAGGGAGATCAAAAAGTAATCAACACATTAGCTATACCATTTCCTTCATCAGTTTGATTTTTAAAATGTTCAAGGATCTGTGTATGACTGGAATAACTGGTAAAGAGCTCTAATCCCAGGTGATCTTATTACAGTAGTGCCATGTGTCAAACCCTGTCAGCCACTTAGGAATTCAAAAGGGAAACTTCAGTACTTTACAAAGTACTTCAATATTTTGCATGTCCAGAAGAATAATTAAAAGACCAATACTAAAGAGATGCATGTCACTGTATTTTCCTAACAATACATTTTGGTATTGGTGGAACTGATTTCCATTTTTTTTCCCCAGGAGGCTGCTGTTAAAAGTGCACAGGAGTGTGCACACACTCACCTGTGCAAATTTCTCTTCTTCATTCATGGGACTCTTGCCCAATGACTCGTAGAGCTCAAGGCACACAGAGGAAATGTTCCCAGGAGCGTGCAGGGTGTGCTGCCTTCGAGCTGGCAGTGGTGTCCCTGATGGAAACAGCACTGTGAATTTGTCAGCCCCTGACTCGTCTACTCCCTTAAAAAAAGAATAAAAATTAATATAGTTCATGTTTTTCTTTAAGTGCTTCATTGAGCTGGAAGTGTCACAACAATGTTTCACAAGAAAAGAAGTCCAAGCTTCATTCCCTCTGTCAAATTTACCATCCAAGCAAGTAAAACCCTGACATTCCTACAAATGAGAAATCCAGCTATTGCAACATAGGAAAGAAACAATTATCTCCCCTTAAAATCAGATTTTCCTGTCAATTTTTTGTCAATAAACCTAAGTTACCATGATAACTTACCAGTGGTAACCTAAGTTACCACTGCTAATCTATAGCAAATCTGCAGAAGTAGTAACAAACCAATGCTGTTTCTCTAACATCAATCACACATAATTAGTGCTATATATTCACTGCAGCAGTAAAATTTCCTAATATTCTAATTTTAGCCTTACCTTAAGAAGAATATCTTTGGCAGAACACTCAATGAGTGCATCTTCTTCTAACAAGGTATTCTCTTTCCCTAGCAGAATTCCTGCCTCTATGGCTGCACCGATGGGAATAACTTCATCTGGAGGAATTGAATTCAGTAATTCCACAGTTGGGAAAATGTCTTTGATCAGCTGCTGTAGCTTTGGGATTCGAGCAGACCCACCACAAAGAACCACCTGGAAAACACATCATACTAATTTCACATCTTTAGTCTGTGAAATAAAACTGACAGGTCACACCCTGCTGTGCAAAAATAAAAACTGCTCTGGGATATTTTATCATCTGCAGTTGTTCAAATTAAAATTGATGTAATCTTGGGTTGACTTGATACTTATGCTTCTGAAATTAAAGGAAATATGATGTCTTCGAAAAGTTTCTCTTACAGTAAGAATCACCTAAATAAAGTAACACCTTGAAAATTGGAAGTCCTTTGGAA